CCACACCCTCAGCTGTGGAGCTCACGTTTTAATACATCAATCCAGAAATTAGTAAGTGGGGGACACTGATAGTATCAGGTCAGATCAGCATATACTATGTTTAAGGAGATAATGCGGAAGGATGGGGAGAGGAATTCTCAAATGAAAGCCTTTCAGTTGCAGTCACACTGAAAACACACAGATTTTGGAACACCATTTGGTCTTCAACATAAAATATTAATCTTCTGAGTGCTAAAATCTCTCTTAAAAAAAATTCTGTAAATGAAAGCTAATACCCCTTGAAATGTCAGAGGAGCATTTTTCCTACAAACCAATAAGGAAAGTCAGTGGAGATTCTCATCACACAAGTCATTGCAGCTCTTAAAATTCAGAACACTATGTTAAAGACCAGACATGGTTTTCCCGTTGGAATTTGTCAGCTTTCGTCTTGCCCTCAGTCAACTAGACAAGGAACATTCACATACTTTTTGTTTCCCAGAGACCTCTTGACCTTCTGTTGTCTGTGATGTCCAGGCCTGGTGTCCTAACAAAGTAGAACAACTCACATTAGCAGCATAATTTTTCTTCTTTTTTGCATGTTTCACTTTTCAGTTAAACACAATCACCTGTACTTCGAGGATGTGCATACCATCCTTTTAAAAGGAAACCACTGTTTTCTGCAGCAAGGAAGTGTTTAACCTTTTCAACTCCAGCTGAATTAGAACTGGAATCAAAATCAGGATGAGCTCCTCTACGCTCCCCATACGGAAGCCAATCACTCTCCTGGTACTGGGGCACAATGGAGTGTTCTTTGTCTCCAGTTCATTCAGTGGTACATGCTTTCTGCCTAGACTTTATCACACGATGATATTTTAGATCCTAACTTACTAGCTTTTACATAGTACCTATCTTTTCCTTAATAAAATAATTCTCGCATTTACCATGCCGAGAATCTTGTCTCAGGTCTCTTTCACGCTCTCTTTTCATTTCTTATCTCAATTATTTTGTCATACTCCATCAGCTGCCCAGATGTTCAGTGTATCAACATCACAGAATCCTTTTTCTTATTTAACAAAGATTTTTTTCTTATTTATTGCTTGTTGTTTCTTATAATCCTATTAAGACATGTAATTTCACAGATACCATGGCCACTCCCAAGTCAGTATAAACCACCTTCTTTCAAATACTAATAATGACTCAATGCTGTTCTTCATTGGGAAACCCAGGACAAAAATCTTGGTTATACAGACTAGAAAACAAAAATCACTGCGCAGTAGAAGTATATGAAATACCAAAACTGTAACCTAGGAACAGAGATAGTATTTTGCCACGTACAGCAACTGGCCAAGAAACTGGAAAAAAAAGAGCAACAATATGGATAAATTACCTATCTTCTTTATAGAAGAAGATAATGCACATTATCAACTGGACTATGCTATGAACTGTTTTAGTTATTAGAAATAAATGCTACACATTATCCGGGGAAAACAGCAAACAGGGATATGACAGAATTTGAAGAAGTCATAAAAACATCATGACTTGTCAGGAGGAGATGCTGATAAACTTCAGGTGCTGTATGAAAACTAGAGAATAGGTAGCTTCAAGGTAAATGAAATTCACCACAAAAAAAAAAAAAGCACTGGAAAAAAAATTAACTTCAATCTGTTTCTTATGCTCTTGCCTCTTAAGTTATGCATAGAACAAGCAGTATTTCACTCTTCCCACGACCACAGTCAATGAGAGACACCCTAACCACCAGGTAAGAAATTCAGTAGCAGCACTGACATTACCTAGATGAATTCTTAAACTGTGAGAATGGAGTGTCAGACTTTCTCTGGGCCTCCAGCCCCAGAGTCTCCTCTCATGGAAAGGTTAGGGAAGCAGCAGGAGAGAAATTCACAACTGCCTGATCAATGACTTCACAATCATGTCGTCTTCTTTGCAAGAAAAGTCAATTGAAAGTTTATGTTTCTATTACTTTGATATGGTTTACATGCATCTAGTAGTGCAAACAGCAGTGCTGGGGAAACATCTATATCAGAAACATGGAGAAACCTCAGGAAGGAGCAGCTAGGAAAAATTAGGCCTGTGAAGATATAACGATAAAAATGAACAAATAGGCAGGCATAGTATGTGGCAATTAGCTGGCCTAGTCTATCATTAGAAGCACCCGGATGACTGACAAACATGGAACATGTTCTAAGATTTTTTTCAAGAACTAAAAAATTTTGCATAAAAGTGAAGACTAGCATGAAGAATTTACGTCACAGTTAAGGATCTGCAATAAAAAGAGTTTAGATGATCTGTCTAGCCTTGCTTTCTGCAAAGTTGATAGCAGCAATTATAAAGGAAATATCTACAGAAACTAGTGTTCAAGTTTGTAATATTTTTTTTTTATACAGTGTACTTCCCACTATAGAACACAGAGACTGAACATATGCTGGAATGCCCAAGGGCCAAACATCCGGAAAACAAAAACGCCAACTTCTTTGCACAGGATAGAAAAAAAGAAACAGTGGCCTAGAGCCTGAAAAGATGAAGAAACTTCATTTGCGAGTGGGCCATTTCTGCCTCCCTGGGCACTGTGGGATGCTTCTGTGACCTGGAACACTGCCTGCTGCTGGAGACAGGCTGCTCCACAACAACGCACCTGGAAACACGGTGTTTAAGCAGAGCACAGAAACTCTGACTGGGATCAGGAGACCGATGTATAAGCTGCGAGCGAGTCAATCCTACAGCTACAGCGGAGAGGTATCAGTGGAAGCTCCAAGCGTCCCGCACCACCGTGACTGTCCCTACCCCCGAGGAAAAACCCCCAGGACCCGGGCCCGGCGCGACGGCTCAACACCCTTTGGGGAACTCCCTGTTTCAGTCTCAGGTTTCCATTTCTACCTGTACCCTTCTTGTACTACCACTTCTTGCAACGAAGACCTTTAGGACAAAAAGTAGGACCGGCACCAAGAGCCAGCAGCGCCCCGCTCCAGATGCCTCCCCAGCCCTCGGCCGAGCAGAGCGGGGCT